ACCTCAACCCTAAATCATTTAAAGGAGAGTATATTAAGGGTAGAAGTGGGGCAAGAGACAAGGACCATGGGGTCTTTCAATGTTTATGAGGTGAAAAGACAGCCTGAAATTATTGTTGAGAAGACTGCTTTGGTCACAGTGTCCCTTATGTAAAATGGCAAAATCAAGATTTGCTTTTTGGAATGTGTATATTTTAAAAATATTTTCAAGCTGTAGATGCTTGAATCCATGGATTAAAAAAATCCATGGCTATGGAAGGTTGGCTGTACCACCAAAACAGTGGTACAGGTTGAGTTTACTTATTTGGAATGCTTGGGACCAGAGACATTTTGGATTTTGGATATATCTTGGAGATGGGACCCAAGTCTAAAAACATAATTCATTTATGTTTCATATATCCCTTATACATATAGCCTGAAGGTAATTTTATACAATGCTTTTAATAATTTTGTGCATGAAACAAAAGTTGCTGTATACTGAACCATCAGAAAGCAAACTTGTCACTATCTTAGACAGAAAGTGGTTTGTTTTTTTAAAATATTTTGGATTTTGAAATTCTGGATAAGGGAGACTCAGTCTTTACTTCCAGAGAGGAACATTTTGATTAAAGATCATTTTGGTAGGGCTGCATCTTTATGGCTTTATGCTCTGATCTTGTGTGTACTGACCGGAACAGTAAACATGTATGTGCTTGTTACTCACATAGCTTTTTCAACTCACTGTGAGACTCTACGTACAGTCAGTATACATTTTACTCTGAAGTATGTGCAGTACTTCAGCACATGGTGGTGTTGTTGAGTGGGTTTCCTTCTCCCCTTATCCCATTTAGCCTATTAGAGATGTTGCCTTTAATTTTCATTTAAAAGATTTTAGGTTTTTGTTTTAGCGTGATATTTGCTGGAAATCAAACTCAGCCAAAATTTTAAGGTCTAGCAAATTCCTCATTTGCCTCAAAGACAATTTCATTGGGGTACAAGTGGTGGGATCCTTAGTCGGAGTGATTATGTTCTCTGGAGTTTGTTATACAGTGGAAAGGAGAAGCCAGGCATAGTCAGACACACATTCTAGACTTTAGGAGAGCTAATTTCAGTAAACTTGGGGAAATACTGGTGGTGATCCTGTGGTCAGGAATACTAAAAGTGAAGGGAGTTCAGGACAGATGGGAATTTCTCAAAAGGGAGATACTGAAGGCACAGTTTCAAACTGTTCCAATGAGGAGGAAAAATGGGAGGTGTCTCAAGAAACCAGGATTGATGACTAAACTTTCAACTGAGCTAGGTTTTTAATGGGAGATGTATAAGACATTGATAAGGGAAATCACCAAAGAGGAATTCAAACAAATAGCAAGCATGTGTAGGGGTAAAGTGAGAAAACCTAAAGCACAGAATGAACTCAGGCTTGCTAGAGCAGTTAAGCACAATAAAAAGGGCCTCTTTGAGTATGTCCATAGCAAAAGAAATAAGAAGGAGATGGTAGGGCCACTGTGCAGAGAAGATGGAGAAATTCTAACAGGGGAC